ACTCACACACACACACACACACACACACACGGAGAAGCGCTTGGAAGTCTCCATCACCTGCACATGTGCACACCCATGCGTGCATGCCCCATCCTGAAATAAGGTTCCCCATCAATGCTCACGCAAACATGCAGGAACAGGCAACACAAATCCATACCCCTTCGTTTCTCCACCTCAGACCACTGTGGCCCAACCACGCACTGGCCAAACTGGGCCAGAGTGGATGGCAGGCTCTGCCTCCAACAACAGATGCTCTGAGTGCTTGGTTACGCAATTTTAATTTAAAGCATGGGTTGAACAGTTCAGAAGGCATTGAAGATAGCAGGCTAGCTCATCATGACGACTTTGCCTGCCCAAGAGGAGCAAAGAAACAGGCCTATCTTGGCATTGGCTCTTGAGTAAAGCTTCCTGGGACGCTTTCCACAGCCCAATTCAAGTTCAAGATATGCTGCTACGAGAGTATAATTTTGAAGTAGTTTGAAATCTGATCCTTTGGGTTTCTTTGGTCTCCTTGACAGCGTGTGCTCAGGAATCCTGAAAGGAAATAAAATGTGTCCCTGTCAAGGAAGGCATCTCCGCCAGTCAGTCTGGTTTAGTTCAGCAGAAATAGGTTTCTCCTTTCCTGGTGTGTAATGCAGGTGGAGAGTGGAGCAAACTAACCATCTGCACAATAAACAGCTACTGGGTATACTGGAGGAGCCAGCCTCTTTCCATACGCTGTGGAAAGCAGTGGCCGGGGCAGACGGGCCAAGATAAACACTAGGCCCTTATCCTGACCCACAGCAGGCCTAGGGCCATATATACGTAGCTGAGTGCCTACACGTCTCTGTAACAGGCTCACCTGGAACTAGCATCGTCTGTTCCCAGGAAGTGCCCCGATCATTGTTGCTGGCAGTGGATCTTGCAGCACAGTTTTGGTTTGAAAGCAGCCCCAAAGGTTGGCTTTCAAATTCCTGATGAAATTCCTGGTGCGTGGGTAACAGTCGTGGAGAGACTCTCTTGGAGTCACTTCAGGGCTGTGGACTCGCTCCTTTGGGCTTTTATAGCCTAAAATAGCAGCCCTCCACAGAAGGAATGAAATCCAAAAGCCTTCTGCAAGCTGCTCCCCAGACAGAGTGCTCTGGTGGTTTTAATGGCCCTGCAGCTAATGAGCCTCATTTGCGGATGGGGAAAACATGGTGATGGCAAATATTTAGCCAGAGGGGGGCCTGCAGAGCTTACAGGACGGCCTGGCTGAATGCTCCCTTGCCACAGCCAGCCAGTGCAGGGTAGACCAGAGCCAA